AAAAACTCCACAATAACTTCAAGCACAGATTCAAAGGAAAAAAATGGATTTTCCACAGGGACTACATGAATACCTAGAAGAAATGAAGGAAGAGATAAAAAAAATATATATATATATAAAAGCTACAGAGGAGAACTGTAAGGAAAAGAAATAGCTTAGCAGAAAAAAGTGATGAATCCCACTTCAATTACGGACTCCTTGAAAACTAGAATAGACCAAGCAGAAATCAGTGTCAGTATAAAACAGAAAAGAAATATTAAAATAAAATCAAAAAATTGAAAAAATAGAAGAAAATTTTAGATGTCAGATCAAAAACAACCAACCTAGAAAACAGATCAAGGAAAGATTATTTAAGGGTCACTAGATTCCCTAAAAATCATTTTTTTTTAAGGCCTGGATATTATATTTCAAAGAACCAAAATGAAAACTGCCCAGATTTATTAGAACCAGAGAGGAATGTGAAGAGAAGAATCCCAGGAATAATATAACCTAAATTCAGAAAAAATGCTGTAAGACTCCAGAAGGAAGAAGTTCAAATACCAAGGTACACAGAAGTTTCTAATGTGATCAGGAGGAGATCTTAGAATACAATATCCCAAGAGGTAAAAGATATGAGTTTACAATCAATAACCTACCCTGCAAAGATGAATATAATCCTATAGGGGAAAATACAGACCTATAATGGAATAGAGGACTTTGAAGCATTTCTGATGAGAAGACTAGAGTCAAGTAAGAACTTGGAAATGCAAACACAAGAGTGAAGAGAAACTTAGAAAGTTAGAAGTGGATGTGTGATATTATAATGTTAAAATTCTAATGGGAGGAAGGAAATAAGTGTCCCATCAGGACCTCAATCTCTTCAAGGGTATTGAAGGAATTAAATAAGAAAGAATAAGAAGACCTAGGGATGGACTGGTCCTGTTCTGAGGGTTTGAAGAAGGAAAAGAGAAAGGAGAGTAAAAGAAATATATTAGTATAGAAAAGGGGGGGGGGAAGGGGGACTTGCTGATTCTCATAATTGACTAAGTAAGAAAAATATACAAACACAGAGGAAGGGGATCAAGGGGGCAGGAATCAGATGAATCTCACTCTTATCTGAAATGGACAAGGATGGTTTGAACACATACCAACAGTTTGGTGCAGAAATACACTAAATTCAACAGAGAATCAAGCAGGGAAGTAAAGAGGGAGGATAAAACGAGGAAGGAGTGGAGAGCCACTAGCAAAACAAAATTTCCTAATCCTGAAGGAGGGATTGGCTTGGGGGGGGGGGGAAAGTATAACACAAAGAACCTGAATCTAAGCAGGTACCCCAAATTTCCTCTTACATGATTGGAAAATGGCTGAAAATTGTGGTATACAAATAAAAGGCATGTTATTGCACTACAGGAGACAGAAGAAAGAGATAATTTCAGAGTAAGTATGAATTGATGAAGAGTGAAGTGTAAAAAAATCAGGAAAATAATCCGTACAAGGACGACAACATTGTAAAGAAAAATGACTTCAAAACAACTTTAATCAATCCAAATACCATGTCTTTAGAGGACCTATGACAAAATATATTTACCCAAATCCTGAAGAGAGGTGACAGACTCAAGGTACATAAAGTGACATGCAGTTTTGGATATAGATACCATGTGGATTCATTTTGTACGACCATGCTTATTTATTACAAGTTTTTTCCCCCTTTTTCTCAGTTTTTTAACGGGGGAGACATTGGTGTGAAGAGGAAATAGGTTTAGCAATAAAAAGCAGACCACTGAAACATTTTTCCAAATGCACAGAAGAGAACAAAAGGAAATTCAGAAGGAAGAACAGAGAAATAGGACAGTTTAAAAAATATTATGTATAATTTATACTTTTTTTCAAAAACTGATTAAAGTAGAGATTCCCATTTTTCACATGCAATCCTTTTTTTAATGGTTTAATGGAAATGTTCTTCTTTTGGTTTTTAAGTTCAAAATCTTACAAATAAAATGAAATAAAAGAATTCAAGCCTGTTGGCTCCCAGTCCAGTCCCCTTCCCACTGCTTAGAATGTAAGCTCCTTGACTAAAGGTACTTCTCTTGTCTCTCTATCCTCAGCACATAGCATAGTAACCAGCCCATAGTAAGGCCTTAAAAGCTTGTTGGCTGATTACACAATACTAAAGAATGCTGAAGGATAAAGTCTTCAGTACTCCTAAAGGCACCAAGAGTTAAAGCAGTCTAAAGCCAGAGAGCTCAAAGAAAGGAACAGCACACAATCTCCATGTTTCCAGAAGAAGCTTTACCTAAGACCTTTTCACTTACCTGGGACTTGTCCTGAGTCATCTTTGGGATGCTCCTGGATTGTCCATCTTCAATACTGCTGGCATCATCCTCACTACTATCACTGCCAGAGTCCTCCAGACCTGAGAACACACTCTCTTCACTGTCAGATGGGTCAGACTCACTGTATGTTGCACTCTGGCTGGGGGCTGGATGGTTGAAGAGAGGCAGCTGCCAAAGAAGCATTTATATCATGGTATAGAACCACCAAAGACCCTCCTCCAACTATGCCATGGTGCCAGTCAGAGGTGAGTAGAAGAGTTGACAGGCACCATTAGCCAGAAGGGCAGATCAGGTGCAGTACTGACCAAAGAAGATAACCTAAAGTGCTCTGCAAATGCTACATAAATGTTAGCTACTGTTATTATTATTTCCAAATTCCTTCATCCAGGGGCTCTGAGTTGCTCTTATTGGGTTTAGAGCCCCTTTCATCTGGTCATTCATCATCTCTCAGCAAGTATACAACTCTGCTAGGTTCTACACAGGATGAAGAGGGGTATAACATATAAACTGTACCCTTAAGGAACTTACTATTGTCCTCCCAGTGTCGAATGTTTAGGCATTTAAAACACTCCTGAAATATGCCTTCCTCTGTGTACCAGCAAAAGAGACCCATGATGGAAAACAGCCTCATGTAAAAGTGCTGGATAATAAGGGTAGCAATAATCAATCCAAAGGTCATGTGAAAAAGGCTGGCAAACTCCAGGTCCTAAAAGGTATCTGGATACCCCATGAGGAAATACCTAGCTCCAGGAACTCCCATCTTACAGTCCTTTTCAGGTCTGACACCTGCTATAAACAAAATTTTTAACCCGCCTAAGTGATTAGAAAGGTAAGGATTGCAGAGAAAAAGCAGAACTATGCTAAAAGAGTCCCTGTGACAAGGGTACCTAGTGACCCTAGAGAGAGCTACTCACTCAGAAAAATAGAACCAGAGGAGCAACTGAAGGGGAAGGGTGGAGAAGAAGGTTTCATCTGCAAGTGCCTTGACATCCCTGGGGACTGGATCCAAAAAGACTAGCTCTTTCCCCAGGGCCCTATATTCCTTAGTCCCCTCTCCTACTCCTCCATCTGGACTCTCATCTCTCAAATTCCTTTTCCTTCTCCTGCATCTATCTTTCCCTCACTTCCTCAGACTCTTCTCCTTTCAGAATGCCTATTTTCTAAACAAACTGACCTCAAGGTACCCCAATATCTCCTCAGTTTCTCCACTCCAACTCTCAAACACCCCCAAATCCTGTCTCCTCTGGCCCATCAAGCTCAGCTATTTTTCCACTATAAATGGCCCCTACATCTTCTCTACCCCACAGCACCAATTCTTCAGACATACCCAGTTTACTGCAGACTCACTTCTTAGGGTTCCTTCTCCACTACTTCACAGGTTTTCTAAAATCTCTTCAGGTTAAAAAAATAAAAAATCTCTTCAGGTCCTTCTATCCCCTCCCAGTCCCTCCCAACCACTCTGTCCCTTTTAATGTGCATCTCCTGTACCCCACTAATCTCTACACCTAAATCACTCCTTCAAAAATATCCTCTAAATGTCATCAAACAATGATTAGGGTCCTCTCTTTACCTTCCACATTCTCACATCCTCTCTAAGACCACCAGTTCTATCTCCTCAGACCCCAATCAATACTCTTCCCCATTAAATTCCTCGACCTTCTAAATCCCCAATCCTCACATCTCAGGCCCATGAATCACCACCAACCCATCCTATCTCCTACAGTTCTCCCCTTTGGCCCCCACATCAGCACCTTTCCCCTCAATGGCCCCTTCCCTTCTGGACTTCATCGCCCCTGTCCCCTCACTGCCCATTATCCTTATCCCGTCGATGCCCCCTATTCTCAGTGAACCCCCATCTTTCCTGTTCCTGCCTTTTGCCTCTTTTTGTATCCCCAGTGCTTAGCACAGTGCCTGGCTGTTTACTGACTGACTATCTCTCCCCTCAGGACCCCCCTCCCTCTTGTTCTCCCAGTGTCCACCCCCTCACTATCTCTGTCACTTCAGGGCCTTCCTCTATACCCTCAGGGCCCCTTCGTCGTGCCTGTGCCCTCAACTTCCCCTCATCTTCGCTGCCCTTAAGGGCCCCTCCCTCCCTTTCCTCTCCATCCTCGTCCCTTAAAGGACGACCCTTCAGCGCCCCCTCCTCATCTCCCTCCCCTCGCCGCCCCGTCGTCTCCTCCTGTCCTGTCCCGTCCCCTCCGCCCGCGTGCACGTGGCCCGCCTTGCGCTGTCACCTCCTCGCTGGACCCCGCCTCCTGCAGCTCGGAATGCTGCTCCGCGGGCCTCTTCCCGGCCCTCGCTCGGGCCCCCGCTGGGGCTCCTGTTCCCATGCCTGCGCGCCTCCCGCCCCGCGCCCCGGCCATGTTCCCGCCGCTCCTCGCGCCGCTTCCTGGCTCTGGCGGCCTGAGACCTCCTCTCTTCTCTCTTCCCTCCCCTTCCTCTCCGGTTGTGGATCAGAAGCAGTGTGCGCCTGCGCTCGACGCAGCTACGGGAGCGTCAGAGTCGCTGAGGCTGCGCTGGGGAAAACGTTTCCATTCCTCGTTCCCCAAGAGTCAAGGTGCGCATGCGCCCAAGCGTTCCTCGCAGAGTAGGGGCGGAGAGCGAGGAAAAAGAGTGGCCCGGAAGACATAAACGCGCACGCGAGAGGCGGGGCCGGGATGCCGTTGGGCGGAGGGAACGTCACGCGCGCGCATGCGTGTAGGTAGTCGACGCCGCCGGGTGCGAGCCCGTCGCAAGATGGCGGCGGCCATGCTGGGCCACAGAGTTCTGTTTGCGCAGCGGGCGGCGGTAGCGGCTCGGGCAGTGGCGGAGTCGGCTACGGCGCCTGAGGCCGAGGCAGCGGATCCCTTGCAGCTCCAGCGCCGGCTGCGCTAAGCGGCAGCCTTCCTTCCTTCCGTACCCGGCCCGCTCGCAGCAGGCCGGCCCTCCTCGTTTCCCTGTCCCTGCCCTGCTCTCCTCCCTTGGTGCCCGCCTCCCTGCCCTGCCCAGCCAGCTGGCCCCCGGAATGGAGGTGTCCGGGGGCCCCGGTATGGCGGGGCCCAGCAACGTCCCTGCCTTCCTGACCAAGCTGTGGACCCTAGTGAGCGATCCGGAGACAGACCCGCTGATCTGCTGGAGCCCGGTGAGGGCCTGGGGTGGGCACGGGGTGACGGCTTCTTCTCTTCCCTTGGAGCCTGGCGAGGGCCTGGGGGCGCGCAGAGTGGAGGTCCTTTCTCAGGTGCACCCGGGGCGGGAAGGGCGCGGGGTGACGGCATCTCATTCCCCTTTGGAGACTGGAGAGGGGCTGGAGCGCATGGGGTATTCCTCTCCACTCCTGCGCGGGGTAGTGGGGGCGGGAGGGGCGCGCAGTGGCTGCGCCTGGGCCCCTTTGGAGACTGGAGAGGGGCTGGGGCGCGCAGGGTGGTGCTCCCTCCTTTGCTGCACCAGTGGTGGTGGACGGTGCACGCGGTTACTGCACCTTTCCGCCGGAGCCGGGCGAGGGACCAGGGGCTCTCGGCATTTTGGTTCTTCCCCTGCCCTATGGAGCATGCTGCGCCTCCTTTGCTGAAGCCTGGCATGGGGCTGGGGCGCTCAGGGTTGTTCCTCTGCTGCATACAGTTAGGGGTAGGAAGGAAGGGGCACCCGGAGTTACTGCGCCTCTGAACTGGGCAGCATTTGCTAGAGTGGGGGGATGGGAGGACTGTGGTTTTAGGTCCTCAACTGATGGGATGGCCTAGAAGCTGTTGCCTGGCCCCTATGAGATGCCCTCACAGCTCAGCTCCTGGATTGAAGGAGAGAGCGCCTGTCTTAGGTCACTACATCTAGAGAGGGAAAGGTAATACTAGACTGTTTATTTGTGGGGAGGGGCATCTTCCCCAAGACATGCTTGCTAGAAGTCTAGCAGCAGGGGCCCTGGACGCCCTACATTTTTCGAGGGCCAAGGGAAGAGGCCTTAACAATGGATCAATAAAGGAGGACTTGAAGATCTGTAAGGTCACTTCCAACTCTAAAATCTTGCAGTCCTAAGTTATAGCCTGGTAGTGAGGATAGATAGTATTGACTTGCCCATTTCTCAGAGTTCCAGAAAGAAAGCTGTGAGCTAAATCTTCATTAGCCCTAAACCTGGCAAGGGAGACAAGGCAAGATTTCACCTTGTTTATCTTCCATTTAGGGTGGAGTTGGAGATGTTCGGGTCACCTATTTAGAGCAGCTAGGTGGCACAATAGTTAGGTTGCAAGGACTGGAGTCAGGAAGACCTGAGTTCAAATGGGGCCTCAGACACTTAGGAGTTGTATGACCCCAGATAAGTCACTTCACATCTGTTGCCTTTTCTAGAAAGTGGAGGTAATGGTTGCATCTACCTCCCAGAGTTGTTGTGAGGATAAAATGAGATAGTGTTTGTAAACCACTTAGCACAGTGCCTGGAGCATATTAGGCACCCTATAAATGTTAGCTAATATTATCATCATCATTATTATTATTTATTCTTCCATTACTTTCGATCTTATAAAAGTAGTAACATAGAAGGGAGAGAAAAATGTTAGGTGGCAACCATGCCGTGGTGCAGTGGATAGAGCACTGGACCTAGAGTCAGGAAGACCTGAGTTCAAGTTTGGACTTAGACACTTAATAGTTTTGTGAAGTTTTGTCACTTCACCTCAGCCTGCCTTGTTTCTTCATCTGCAAATGAGGATAAGTAATAGCAGCAACTTCCCAAGACATTTGTGAGAATCACATGGGATCGTATTTATAAGGGACTATGTAAATGATAGCCATTACTGTCATATATCCTTACAATTATATCCTTACAATCAGGAGTGTAGCCCCCTGAGAAATGTCTGGTGGGCAGCCGGCCACAGGTTTGTCCTAGGCTGTGGCTAGACCGAGGTAGGTAGAAGAAAAAATTTTTCCTTAGGCCCATAGAAGTAGAGGTGAACAAAACATTTTTTCCTGGATCATACAGCTTGTCAGAATGGTTAAACCTAAGCTCTTACTGACTAAGCTTCCTAGTTGTTCAGCTGATAATCAACTGATGTCTGCCATGGATGGGCAGAACTAGAAAGGAACAGGTTGGGCCAGGCCTTCTCATTCCTTGCTCCTTACCTAACTGTGAGACAACTAGAGAAGTATCTCTGTCAGTCTTGACAAGCCCAGAGTTTCAATAATAAACACCATTCCCAGGAAGTTATACTACATGGTAATTAATATGTGTGTTGCCAGAGGCAATGGCAATAGACAATGTGGCATGATATGGCCCAAAATATTGGGCTGTGCTGTGTTAAACTAGTGGCTGTCTATGTGGTGAAAGACCTTATGAAAAAGTTCAGAAATCGAAAGCAAAATGTGACAGAATCTTAGGTGTGGGAAGGAACGTCCAAAGGGATAAGCAGCTGGTTTTTCTGTTTTTGTTGATTACTAGCTGCTTGATAGAAGGCACTACGCAATCCCACTCCCTTAAGCAGCCTCACAGCTGGGCAGCTCTGATTTGCACAGATAAATCAGGGAGTGAATCTGGAATTCTAGATCATAGCTCAACTGGGTTGGAGCTGCTGTTTACATTTTTGTAGTGATGTCCCAGGATATCCTGTAAATCCCATAGATTTTGGAGAATAGACAGTCCATATACTCTGAAGAGTAGAGATTATAAGCCATCTTAACCTGTCAAGGCCTCGGCCTCTGGTTATACATAGCCCCTGATGAGCTAAAATAACTGCCATGTAAGTTCCTCGCTCACCATCAGATACTTGATTTTTTCTTTCTCAAATCAGTCCCTTGAGAAACTAGGAAAAGGCAATCCTTGATGTACCAGTTGTTGAGCCTTCCCTTACCTGAGCCCAGCTTGGAACTCTCAGGCCAGGCTCATTCAACTTACGCACATCTCAGTTTTTTCTTTTGTTTTGGTTTTTTTGGCAATTAAACTGGGTTTCCTGTTTATTTTTCTTTAATTCTCTTGGTCTAAAAGATTATTTTGAAAAATTCCCCCTAAGAGAGATCTAGAAGTTAAGCTTTCCACAAATAATTGTTTCGTAAGAGTATAATTTTGTATCTCCCCTCCCTCCCCCTGTTATCTCCTGTACTTGGATATTTTTCATCAATGAAATCTTGTGGTGGGCTGACCCATACTGTGTCACCCTCTTCTCATTCCTAACATTAGTCTGTCTAAAAGTAGAATGGCTATATCAGGAGTTAGTCAATAAACAATAAGTGCCTAATATGTGCCAGACAGAGTGCAAAGAAGATGTGCCCTGCTCTCAAGGAGTTCAGAACCTAATGGGTGGAGAGACAATGCAAAACTATGTGCAAACAAGCTATAAATAAGTTCATTTGGAAGTAGTCTATGGAAGGAAGGCACTAGCATTCAGAGGAACTGGGAAAGGATTCCCACAGAAGGTGGGTTTTAGCTAGGACTTGAAGGAAGCTAGTAGGCAGAGATGAAGAGGATCATCATTAGAGGCCTTTAGAGAGAAACAGCATGGTTATTTTGGGGGTGTGCAATAAAGAAGATTCTTATTCATATAAATGCAGAACTAGATACTCTCTGATATTCCTTCCAGCTCTGAGATTCTGTGATTGTGGATGTAAAAAGTTTTGGGGACAATTTGCTTTCTTGTCATTGTTTCCTTACTTTAGTGGTTACCACTTCAAGGGCCACCTTGAGCTGCTTCTTCAACCATCCTTCCTACAACTTCCTTGTCACAAATAACTTGAAAGAAAACATTTTTAAGCCCTTTGCTGTATTCCTGTGGCCCAGTTGTTTTGTGAGCCCCCTTTATTCGATCTGGAGTTCTTCTCTGTAATCAGTGTTATGGACAGCTGAAAGGAGAGCATCCAGGGTCCTCTAAATGGTAGTGGCCTTTCAAAAAAGTCCTCTTGCCATTTATTCTTGCTCGAAGTTTACAGGAGAATGTACCTGGGGAAAGTCCAGGTGTTAGGGATCTACTATGGGACTGGCCAGACCTCAGTTTCCAGACCAAGCTGGAAGAAAACTCCAGAGAACTAGTGACCGAAGTTGGTCCTAGATTAAGCTGTAAAGGAATAGTTCAAGAGGGATCTCTAGACTCCTGGTGAGGTAGTGTTCAGGAACCCTGGAAGAATGGTACTTGGCTGGATACTGTGTAAACCAAAGTGAACAGAGGTGGCTCTAGCCTTCTCAGAGCTTTCAGCCAGTTTTGTTACCTGCTCGTTGTATTGCAACCCTTTCCTCTTATTGTAGAAATGATGGGTAGGGTTTGACCAAAACCCATTTGTAGCCTGTCTGATCTTGCCTAGTCAGCACCCTGGTTGGGTTAGGATTGGTGCATGAGGTGGCTGGTTGAGTGCCAATGATGACAATGCAGAAATGAGTGCTGAGTAGAGACAAGAAAGGGACATGGATTGGTACAGGCAACACAGAAATCCATTCCTATCCAAGGCAGGCATTGTACCACAAAACTGCCTGAGGTTGGCAGCTCGGCACTCACAACAAATATTTTGAAATACCTTCTGTTTCGATGGTCAAAGAGTCTGCTGTGCCTTCTTGGAACAGACCTGTAGTCAGCAGTCTCTCTACAGAGTTTTCTATCCCAGGTCCCTCTCTACTAGCCTGATGAACTTTTCTCTGTGGGAACATTAGCCCTCCAGGGCAGATTACCCATCTGACAGATAAAGATGAAGACACATAAGATTACCAGGAAGCTGAGTGACTTGACCACAAGTGATGCCTGCCAGCCCTTCACTCTCTAGTCTGTTGCTCCACCTAACATCTCAGGTGGATGTTTCAATGAGGCTTGTTAAAGAATGATGTACCTTTCCAAGGAATGATAATCTTACATTGAGGAGGTTTGGGGGACGGTCCTGTCTGGAGACAGGGGGATAGCCTAAGTGGCTTCTAAAAAACATGGAATTCTAACCCTTCTTGCCCCTCCAAATAATGGGAGAAAGCAGCCTGAGTCACCATCCTCAAGAACAGGAAAGAGACATTATAATGACTGACTGTTTCATTCCTATAAGTAGGATATGTTATTATTTCTCATTTCCATCCCCTTAGTAAGTATCCCATTGAATGTAGGATCTTTTTCCTGAGCATCTAAAATCATCCCCAGAGCTGCCGTAAAGCAGCACTTTTTAAACTAAAAAATTTGGCAACAGTAAAAGATTTCTGAA